TTCCTGTTATCTCAGTACCTTATTCCTAGACCGCACTACCATCCAGACAAATCTTTAGGACAACCTCATAATCACAACAACCTACCAGAAACTGTGAATTTTATTTTTCTGCATTCTGCTGAAACAGATTTTGGGAGGCGGTTAGGTAAAGTTAGGTTAGGTAAGGTTAAATTGGTCAGAGGGAAGGTACAGAGATAACAGGAAAGTACTGGAAAACTTCCCCATGCCTCAAGTCCCTGCCTGAAAATCTTCATAAGAAATTCATAAAAAACCTGCACAAGTTCACGGATTTCTTCCATAACTCAACGTTCCTGGATGCCTTTTTTGGCAAAGTAAGGCCCAGAATAATGCAAATTACAACTTCTGCTATGATTATTACTTCTTTCCCTGCTGAAAGCAAATGCTTCTTTCAAAGACTTGGAAGCCTCCCTGATTCTTAATTGGGTCGCTGGTTCCTTGAACTTTTGACTTAATTGAAAGACTCACAAGTAACCCATCGAGGACAACCCATGAGTTCGGGGGAAATCCTTCAAGTCGCGGAACATGCATCTGTAGACATGCCAGAAAGTGCAGCACAGGCAGGAACTCCATTACATTCTTCAGTAAGAACGCACCAGAAGGGGGACCCTGCATGCGTATAGAGTAAAATCTTGTCATGAACAATTTTTTCCGTAGAAAAAACCTCTCAAGTCCCAGAAAGCCCATACAGGGTGGGCCAGAAAAAGTGGACGAATTAAAAAAAATTAAATGACTCAGTAGGACATGGACCTGTGGCAATGAAAAAAAAACAAAAAAAAAACAAATGAAAGCTGGTTCAATTCTCTTTCAAGTGACACACAGTTTTATTTTCACTTCTCACCCACACCTCCTGAATTTTGGGAATGTATATGCACCTCTTATTGGAGGCAGCATGACCCTTCCAAGTCAAGTTACTGATCCTCTACCCCATTTATCTATAAAATCAGCTCTCAAGAACAGCAGCTCATTGGGTAGATCCGCCTAACAACTGTTTTCTTTGGAAAGTTTTCATTCAAATGGTTCATCTGTAACCATGCGTGGCACTTCAAACCATATGAAACTAATAGTGTATACATATACCATCAGAAAAAAAATTAAACAAGCTTTCATTTGGTTTTTTTATTGCCTTAGCTCAATTGGCTGCTGAATCATTATTTTGAGTCAAAACGTCTCTCCCTACAGAAAACATTTCACAAAAGAAACTTGTCAGGACTGAAAAACTCCCATATTGGGTAATACTGTTTGTGCAAGAAGTATATAGGCAAAGCCTCAATCAAGGTGTTTCAAGCGGCAAAAATCCAAATAGTCTTGGAAACCTTTCAAAACCCTTTGATTAACCGAATCAGAGCAAAAAAAATTTAGTACATCAAAAAATTAATCTAAAAAACCACGTTTTCAAAAAGCAAAAAATAACCTTAAACATGGTGCGCATCTATTTCATTTGTATTTCACTTCTTAGTCGGGAAGTGAGCAAAATTTGAGTTGCAAAATTTGATCCAGACAAACAAATGGACAAGAAAGCGAGATAATAAAAATGTGTTAATTAATAAAATACTCACGTTTACGATTAGAAGCTTCTGCAGATAGAAACGATACCGCCATATACAAGCTAACCGCACCAAGGACAGACTTCTCACCACATGCACTGCTCGGATCTGTGCCTCAGCCCGTGAAAAGAAGTTCAAACGATTCTGAAAAATGTATATTTATCCCACACAAAACTCAGCACTTGATACACAGTAGGGCCCTGACATCCCACGACCATGTCTCCAGAAAAAGGCATTTCATCAACATTTCTAGAGTTTGCTCCCCAACCCGTGGCCCACACAAGTTTTCTTTTCTTTTTTTTTACCAGTCTGCGGGAAATTTGTTGCAGCATAATAAATTAATCAAAATTAGCAACAAAGTCTTATCTTTGACTGAAATTTTGGAAAGACAAGGGTAGTTGAATTTATTTGATGAAAAAAATGAAAGTGCTTCTCCTAATGAAACTTCCGACAAATTTTCACCAGCTGAAAATGAATTATTCTTTTTTTTTTTTCATTCTGAGAAACCTTTCTCCAAGCCCACCTTCTCAAGTCTCAAAGACATTCAACCACAGCTGCTTCATTGGCTCTTACGTTTTTCAAAAAAGCAGAAAAATTTTAAATCCCAGCCAATGAAGTCTTCCAAGCAAAGCTTTTGTGGGTCTCCAAAAATGGTATTAAAAACTGCCAGTCCACAAACAATTTTATGAAAATTTTCCAGTCCATGGGGCCCAAAAAGATAGGGGAACACAGCTGTTCCAGACAAGAAAATTTTCCTTTTGAAAATTTTGATATATCTGGAAGCAATAGAGCTTTTATTTTTAATAATAAATTAATCACAGTTCCTGATGAAAAACAAACAAGTTTTTGCTTTTTCCAAACTTTTTTACCAAGATGTGGGCACAGTATTACTGGACTGCAGTATGTCTTTGCTTCTTTACCTCATTGCAAAAGATCAGATTTGGCGTGGTTTTAATCTGAGGAGCTATTTTCTGCGTCTCGAAGTTAAGGGAACATAAATATACAGTATTCCATTTTTGGGGACTTTATGCCTAATTTTGGATGGACAGAAGAAACAATTCAAATTTTTTCCCAGAGAAGTCTAAGAGAAAACATGATCCGACGTGCGGACATTCAAACATAGGGGCAAGGCCCAAGCACAAATTCTGTCCGGATCTTGGGGGACACACGGTATTTGAATTACCGGTACTTTGTAATCCTTTCAGAAATAGAAAAGCAGATACCGCACCTGGTTGGCAATTATGAACAGGAAATCCCAAGGAATACAACTGGTCAGGTCGCGAAGAAACCAACTGGTCAGGTAATCCTTGAAAACTTGATCTGGATCCAACACCACATCTTTCCAAGACGAGCCAACGTGTCCTTGAAAAACAAATCCACTGTAGGAGGAGGGTTCTTCAAGATTGGGTCTAGCAAATGGATCACGAAGTGTCATTAAATAAGGGTAATAAATATACGAGCGGCTCATGAGCTGCAGCAAAAATCATCAACAAATGCATAGAGTAAAATCTTGTCCAGCAAACTCGCATAGACTTGAAAATAAATTCTTTATAATGAGATTTATGGTTTTTTGAGCGCATGCACAGGACTGCAACTTTGTGGGGTAACATTTGATAGATGCTTCAAACTTTCAAGTGTTTCCACAAAAAATTTGTGAAGAATGCCCAAATTTCCAAACTTTTCTTGATGAAATACCCCAGAAAAGTCAAAATATGAAATGCAGTGATGCCTTGCCTAGCAAAACGCAAGGAAAATAAAAAAAATGACTCAACTAACAAACGCCTAGCGAACGTTTGCCTGGCCTGCCCTTCTTGTTCCAAATTTGTTTGGTCTTCTTCACACAAAAATCCATCATTTTTGGGAAGAAGAAACGAAAATTCAAATGCAGCAGTACTTTTACATTTTCAGAAAAACTGAAGTTAACAATGATTCAAAATTTAGAACTGAAGCGCATTTTTCCTGGAATAAAAATCATAGGAATCAGGGATGCACAGTGCAACAGGGAGAATACTCCAGCAACAAAACATGGACAGCATCTAACACTGCTGTCTGGTTCTCCTGTCTTCAGACCTTGAGGCAGAGAATGAAACAAATAAACAAAAGTCTACTACAATCTCAGTGTAAAAAGAAACAAATTACAAGCAGAGACCAGACTTGGAATACTTTTTTGAAAAAGAAAGACAGAAATGAAAAAATTGCTTTTGGAAAAATTCAAAATGGACTTATGTTTTCATATGTGGCAAACAAAATAATCCCGGAAAAATTTTGAAAATCACAGAACATGTATGAAATATCGTTCTAAACACAATAAAAATTTCAATTTTTTACCTAGCATGAAAAATTTTCAACAGCTTTTGACATGGAAAACCCTTGCCAAAACTGGAAAGTTTGCAAAACAAACTAACAGAACAGGTATCTTGCATCTAACAAGTCTTGCAGAAAATCTGAATTTGTTTTTAATCTGAAAAAAATCTCAGAACCTTACAATAGAATGGCCTGAATGATTTTTTTTCTTCTTCAAAGTGGTACCTAGTCTAGAAATACCCCAGGTCAATCAGAAATGGGATAAGCCTTGAATATGTAATATGGAGATTATAGAGGAAAATGAGCTATGTTATAACAAAATTTCTACAACATTGTGCCAATGAAGACACTGCAGCAGAGACCATGACAAATTTGCTTTTTAACTCAAAACTTATTGTTGTAACGGAATTTTACTGTGATCCAGTGCAAGTAAAAATGAAAACACTGCTACTATATAAAGTGGACTCTCTCTACAAAAACCTTATGTACAACGATTTTCTGCGTACTGTATAACGAAATCCCTTTCTGGCCCTATATATTACACAGGGTTCTCTCCTACCATCCTAAAGAGGTTCCCTACATCAAAATTCACTCCACAACGTATTCTTTTCGTTCCTTTTTTGAATTTTGTTGCAGAGAGAGTCCACCTGCACTGCCCTATACAGGCCAGGGCATATGCTGATAAGTGATGGTTGATTAAAAATGTTGCACCTGTCATCGAACGTTATTTACTGTACAGCTTAATTAATCCCTGCAGTACGGCGTGTAGCAATAATAATAACGGCCGGAGAGAGAGAGAATATCCGCTCAGCTCATCATCCAAACACCACTAACCCGTGAGGAAAGTGAGGAAAACGTCGCATCCCCTGCAAAAATCCCCGAAGATGCACAACGGCATCCAGTCCTTGTGAAACCCCACGTGGGTGAACGAGACTTGGACGGGCACCACGAGCAAGGTGGCGAGCAGCACCAGGACCATCCACGTGTCCCACACCAGCCGGAACGGGGAATAGGGATGGATGATGAAATACCCGGTGGCCTTGTAGCGCATCCGTTCGCTGACGAGTCCTTCGTTGCCGCCAAACAATTTCCGCACGCCGGAGTCGAACATGTTGGGCGACGTGAGGTTCGCCAATTTCCCGCGCAACCAGGCGAAATCGTGCTCGTCGTCTCGAACGCTCGTTTGCGCGAAGCTCTCACTCTATAAAGACCACCAGTTGAAATACAATACTGTTCGTTGATGCATGCATGCTGGGGAAGCCCAAAAACTGTTGCGTGTATGCTGATCCGATTCGGAATAAAAAAAAAAGGCGACCAAACAAAATTCCTCCGAACCCAAATTGCTACAGCAATAATACGCCAAACGTATCGTACGAACGGTGGTACGCACAGTATAATCTTGGATATTTATACGTGTAGGGTATGTCATGTGAAAGAGCTGCAGAGGGGTTTCCTTGATTTTTTAAAAGTTTTACTTCATTATCGAGTGCCGTCATAAGGGAGGAATCATCAATGTAGTTTCAGGAAAACTCCCACTTCATTTACAAAATTTGAAATAAATAAAGGCGCCATGCAATAATACAAATTTCTTGTGAAGCATGCAGAAATAGGCTGTTTGAAATTATCCCGGGTTTTCATGTGAGCATGTGCATATTTGATTCTCAGTAAAACCCATTGATATTTTAAAAAACGCCTCAATTTCTTCTATTTGGACTAATTTTCCTTTCAGGACAAGGCCATAAGTGCCCAGCAAAAATGTTAGGAGTTGGAAGCTGGGGCGCTGGCACTAGGTAGTTATACAAGTAGTCATTTTCTAGATTTCCACAACTCCCTGGAAAACCTCCGACGCCCTAAGCATAGG